TCCATCAGAAAAGGAATTAATTCTGTGCCTTCCTATTGATACCTACTATCTCAAAATACAGTTATATGTTCTTGGGGATATGGTTGAAGGACTGACATGACTTCACATATTGCTATTGCCATGTCATTTGTTTTGGACATTATGCCCAAGTTGTCTTCCTCATCAGAAGAGGACAGGCAACGGCTTTCACGCTGGTCCAAATACAACCCTCTCTCCTCCCACCACCACCGTCATCACTCCACGTAACCGCCCCCTCACGTTGTGAGTGCCCGCCATGGGCTAAGCGACGTGAGGGGGCTCACATCGACCACCACGCCGCTCACCCGAGATCCAGCAACGTCGCCAACACGACAACGCTGTGCCACGTCACCACGGCACACGAACCAGGTAAGCACCCACAACCCCCTCTCCCCTCGTTTCTCAACACGAAAACCAGGTGCCATGTCGCTGACTGCGACGTGGCACCAAAACGACGGCAACAGGTCTCACACCCCACGACGGCACCACCCCAGCACTCCCGAAACAACATTCAGCGCCCACACGAAACACAACAGCACCACCTCGCCCACGAAAACACCCCACCCAGCACCCACAATGGCCGCCCAGTGCCCACAACAGTGCACAACGGCACACCATGTCCACAAAAACTCCCCACCGCCCACAAAAACACTCCAGCGTATACGAAAACAACACGCCACCCACAAAACAAAGCCCAGCGCCCACGTACACCTCCAACGGACGCGAAACAACACCCCGCGGACACGAAACAGCGCCCACGTACACCGCCAGCGCCCACGAAACGACGCCCAGCGCCCATGCCAACGCCCACAATGCAATGCCCAGCGGGCACGACGCCAACAAGGACGACAAGACGCCAGGACAACGACACGTGAAAACGATGACACGACGCGATGACGCGTCGACAATGCGCGCCAACGAGACCACTCCCTCCCCCTCCCCTGCTGCTCACCACTCCTTCCTCTCCCTACTGCTCACCCACTACCCACCATCCCCTTCCCCCTCCCTTACTCCCCCTCCTTTCCTGCTCACCACTCCCTCCCTCTCCTTACCCCCTTCATTCCCTACCCCCTCCCTTCATTCCCTACCCCCTTCATTCCCTACCCCCTGTCTTCATTCCCTCATTCCCTACCTCCCCTCTCCCTCACTGCCCCTCCCTTCAGTTCTTCCCCCCCCTCTAGTTCTTCATTCCCCCCACTCCCCAGCACCCCTACCCCTCCACTCCTTCCTCCCCAGCACCCCTACCCCTCCACTCCTTCCCCCTCACTCCTCCACTCCCTCCACTTTTCCCTCCCTCCACTCCTCCCCCTGCCTCCACTCCTCCCCCTCCCACTATCTAGATTCAATGTAGATAAATTCCATCATGTATTTTTAATAAATGAGTTTAAATGAATCTTCCCTCTTTAAGTATAAATGTCCTAAGGAATCCTAAGATTAAGTTGTCAGCAGAAGGCCTGAGTTAGATTCAGTCACATAATATCTCCTTACTTTGTCCAAGGTCTGATCAGAACTAATACTGAAAACTGATCAGCTTAAAAAGTACTGAGAGAAGTATGCAGAAGTGTGTATTGGTGTAAATGTATGTTGTATCTGTGATTTTACTTCTATTCCAGTCCCATTCCTGCGGATGCTGGTCCCATTCCTCTGGAATCCACCGGAATCCGCAGGAATGACCGGAATCCTGCAGGAATGGGAGGGGCACTGTAAAGTACTGGTGGTGGGCACTGTCGCGTATCGTTGTCGTTGTCGTGCATCGTTGTCGTTGTCATGTGTCGTTGTTGTCGTTGTTGTCGCGTTGTCGTTGTCGCATGTCGTCGTGCTTGCGTGTCGTCATTCTCGCACGTCGTCGTCGTCCTCGCACGTTGTCGTTGTCGTTGTCGCGTGCCGCTGCTGGGCGCTCGTCGCCGTTCTGCGTTGGCGTTGGCGGTGGTGGGCACTCATTTGTCGTTGTCGCGTATCGTCGTGCTGGTGTGGTGTCGTTGTCGCATGTCGTTGGCGTTGTCGTGTGTCCTCGTTGTCGTTGTCGCGTGTCGTCGTGCTCGCGTGTCATCATCGTCGTCGTCATTCTCGCACGTCGTCGACCTCGCACGTCGTCGTCATTCTCGCACGTCGTCGACCTCGCACGTCGTTGTCGCGTGCCGCTGGCACCTGTCGTGGTGAGAACTGGGCATTGGGGTGGTGGGCATACGTACCCTTGGCCCATGACGGTGGCAACGTCATGGGCGTTGTCCCTTGTTCTTGGCCCGTCATTCCGCGTTGGCGTGGGCGTTGTTGGCATGGGTGTGGGCGTTGTTGGCGTGAGCGGTG